CTGATGATGCTTCCTCCGCGGTGTCCACCAGCAGAAAAGCCAGGAAGCATTTTTATGAAGGAGCTGTTCTTATTTCATGGATGAAGTTACTGCTATATAATTTTATTCATTTATTGCTATATAGACTACAACTTTATTTTTTTTCTATTTTAGGGAAGGGTCTACAGGGTGTTCAGGCTCTCACTACTAGATCAGACTCCTACAGATCTGCCTATTTACAGCTTCTCAAGAGCTGGGATTATAGGCACACACCACCATGCCCAGTCTCAATTGCAGTCTCAGTGCACCCAGGGGCGGGGCTGGCAGGCAGGCCCAGGGATCGAACTCTGGCCCCTGTGCCTGCTTGCAGGTGCTTTAATCCGCTGAGTTATTTGGCTGGCCCTTAGACTAAAACTTAAAGAAATGTATTTTTTTTCTTTAGACTCCAACTAAATTTAAACCCAGAAATGAGTGTTATGTACAACCTGATACACCTGAAAGATGCTAATTTCTAAAGAAATGAAGAGGAAGAAAGCACAATCAAAACTAAAGCTGTCTCAATGTCATTCCTATGTTTGGTTTAAAATTGGTCAAGATTTCTATGAAAAGAGAAGGGACAGGGTAATATGTAGGCAACAGGCCACTAAGTAAAAACAGCACAGTGAATAAGGCTGCAGAGTCCCTGTCTTGAAGGAGCTGAGGCTAACTCTATTAAAAAGGACTCCTAGGGTGTAGGAGGACAAATATAAGGATGCTTAAGCATCTTCATACAGCTTTGAAAAAAAAAAATCTTCCAGTAATCTACATAAATAGCACACCATGCATAGCATTCTCCTCATGTTCAGTATTTGTTTTCTAGGTTTATGGGGAATATCTGGTTTCCATGGTACTTCTTCTGTTCTAAGTGGTGAGACAGAAGTTTTAAAACATGCTTATGAAACATTTATATCTATTCTTCGGAAGTTGTAAGCTTGTTTCTTTCATACTTTTCTTTGACATTTCATTATTTTCTTTGTTCTTTAGTTCTTTGTAGATTAAAGAGTTTTTCTGTATGTTTTATGCTAATCTTTTCCCAGGGTGGTATTTGCTCCATGTGTGTGTATACAAGTATATATACATATAGACATACATTTTTTAAAAACAGAAATTTAAAAATTCTATGCTGTTAGTTTATCAATATTCTGAAGGATGATTTCTTAATCCTTTAAAGATTAGTAAGACATCCATTTACATAATAGAAATGTCTGTCACTATTTTACCCTCATTTTAAAAAAGATTTTATTTTTTTTGATATTTATAATTTGTTGGTCAGTGAGGATTTGATTTTCATGTGTGATCTAAGATTCAGATGTACACTGACTGCATTTTTCAGTTAACTCACAGTTAACATGAACAATTCATCTTTTCCCACTGATTGAGTTGCCTTTATAAAACTTGTATCACACTGTATGGTTTAGCTTTATAATGTTTAAATATCTGCTAAGACAAAAACTAGGCTATTATTATTTTCCTCTCTCACCTGGTTCTTCTGGAGAAACGTAAAGACAGTTGAAGTAGTTCCTATATAGATAATCAGCTTTTCTACTAGGATCTCTGAGGAATTTTTTCTAAACCTTCTGATCTCTCCTTTAACAACAACAATCAACCACGTGCATAATCTATCTCATATTAACCTCTTAAAAACTAAACTTTGGGCTGGAGAGATGGCTCAGTGGTCTAAAGCACCTACTTAGAACAAGCTTAGCAAAGCACAGGGACCGCGGTTCAATCCCCCAGCACCACATGCCAGCCAGCCCCGCCCCCTGGTGGGCTGAGCTGGCCACACACACACACCACACTCTCTCTCTCTCTCTCTCTCTCTCTCTCTCTCTCTCTCTCTCTCTAATAAATAAATAAATAAATAAATAAATACTAAACTTTATCACTGGTAATATGTATCAGGTACATGTAAAGATTTTTACATACAGGATCTTGTTGAACATTAATAGAATTCCCATTTTATAAATGAGAAAAATTGGCCTTAATTTATCCAGAGGCACAAGGCAGTCATAATCTGGAGCATGCTAAATTTTATTTCTGGTATACTAAGGCATTCCTGTTATGTAGTCTACTGAACTGAAATAGAATCTTTGTTTCTATCTTTACATTTTTTTGGCTGTCAAAGTAATTTAATTCTGAGATACTCAACATTGCTGATTATTTCTTTTCATTAAACAATGCTAAGTTGGGTAATACTTTCTCTTGTTTTTATTCTACTGACTTTTCAGTCTCTTGCACTAACTAGTTTATATATAAAGTTAGCTCAAGGACTCAGATTTGATCCCCAGAGACACATGCTGGGCTGGCTCTGCCCCAGGTGCGCTGAGCCAGCCACCAAAACCAGGCATTGTGGCACACGCCTATAATCCCAGAGCTGGGAGGTTGAGACAGGAGGATCACTATGAGTCCGACCTGCATAGTGAGAACCTGTACCAAATACATAAAATTAAATAAATAAATACATAAACAAACATACTGTGACAGTTTCAAGTCTTTGTTTCACTATCTGCATCTTTGTTGAAGAATTTTCAGTGTGCACATATTCACCAATCTGAAAAGAACCTTGATGAGTCAGTTCAGGGCAGGAACGCAGTGCATCTTGACCTTGGTGTTTTTCAGGTAATGGAAAGGTTGCATTGTAGCATCTGAACATTTCAGCCTCCTGCTGGGCTACTGAAAAAAGAAATCCAAAATTAGTTCAAATTATCACATTAAAAGCATAATAAAATAATTAAACCATGAAACTGCAGCATTTAACAACTGATCAGAAATTACATACCATATACTAGGTTAGAAGAAGACAACATGACTGGCAAAATGTGAAATTGTTATTTACTATAAAACTAAAAGGGAAGAACTATAAAAATTTCACAATTTCATGTCAGACAGTATTATATTTTAGCCATACAGATTTAAAGAGTAGTCTAGGTTTACGTATCTGTATAGAGAAAACATAATAAAAAAATTCAAGGCCTACAGAATTAAGAGAAATGATAAAACATTAAAAATAACTATTCACAAAACCATCTTCCTAAAACTGTTTTTACATTTCCATATCTCTTCTAATCTTTGTGCATACAAATTTTACATGCAATATAATGTAATTATAACCAACATTTTTCAATTTAAACATATTTATCATATTTCTACAATGATATGATTACCATTCTAAAATGCTTTATAATATCTCATCTAATAAAATAGAATAACTTAAAATGCATTTCTCATTAGAACTTAGTAGGGTCATGTCTTTTAAAACCAATGCTGGAGAGGTAACTGTGCAAAGGCCCTTGATACTATGAAATTCTCAATGTTGTGAAAAGAAGGGAAGAAGGGAGGGAAGAAGGATGGAAACAGGGAAAAACTGAAAGAAATAAAGGAGGGAGGGAGAGAGGGAGGGAGGGAAGAAAGAAGAAAGGAAGGACCTCTTTAATTATGTAATCTTGAAAGGCCAGGCCTTTCTGAATATGACCTAAAAGGAAGAAATCTCAAAATATGGAATCAAGACATCAACTCAATGATGGACCTTCAGAGATTCTGTGGAAATTATAGGCAGAAATGTGTGTGTGGGGTATAAATGTTTCTGAAAGGGAGATTTAATACTTTGATCATGAGCCAGAAAAGATTAAGAATTGTCAACACTCTTTGGACAAATAGGACAGACTTTGCTACAAGAACACTTAAGAGTCTTCAAGGAAGTAAACAAATACTACCACAGTAAAAATTAAAAAGCAAGTAACAGGCAACAGAATTATTATATTTCTGGCCAAAATGAAATAAAAGAAACTAGTGTAAAAGAAAAAAACAAAACAAAACAAACAAAAAAAAAACACCCATCAGCAGTACAGCACCTGCCTCTCAAGCAAGGATCTGAGCTTGATTCCTGTCAACTCCCCTCTCTCTCAAAAACAAAAAAAGAAAAAGAAAAGAAAAGAAAAAACAGCCCTTTCTTTCCAAGAAATGCTAATGTCCATATAATACTAAGACTGGGTTGAGAACAGATGCACATAGGGGACAATATCGCAGGAGGTACTCACTCTCAGGTCCTCAGCCCACATCTGGATAAAAGCTCTGAACAGAATTTAAAATACAAGTGGTAGGTAGGATATGAGTTCAATATACAAAAGTAAGTAATGCTATAAAGGTAATAAAGGTAAACAAAGAGATCTACATAACATAATAGAGAAGACAGCATGTATAAACAAGGTGTAAAAACAACTCAGTAAAGCAAGATCAGCCTTTTCAATACACTGTATGGGAAGAGCTGGATTTGCATATGTAAAAAAAAAGAATTTTGACCCAACTTCATACCATGTACAAAAAACCCTCAACATGAAGCACAGTTCTAAATGTAAAACCTAAAACTTTAAAACGCCTAGAGTTAAATGCAGAAAAAAAATTTATGAGCCTAGATTAGACCAAGATCTCTTATATTAAACACTAAAATCTGTGAAAAAACAAATCGATGATATGAACTTTAAAATTCTAAATATCTATTCTTTAAACTGTCAAGACAATTAGAAGACAGGCCAAAGATTGTTGGGGAGGGTAATAGCTAACAAACCATATATCAGATAAAAAACTAGTATGCAGAATTCTCAAATTATAAGTAAAACATTAGAAAAACTAGTTAGCAAACTAAAAATTTGGCAAAAGATCTGGACAGACACTACCCTGAAGATGCTATCAGGATGATACACAAGCATTCAAAAAAGATAATCAACACCATTAGTCACTAGGGGCAAGTAAACTAGCACTGCATAAAAGGAGCACTGCATATCTATTAAAATGGTTAAAATTTAAGGCTGGTCATTTCACACTGGGCTAGCACACAGGCACACTGGCACATTTCTACATTACTGGTGGGAATGTAATAGTATGTCTACTTTAGAGAACAGTTTTGCAGTTTCTTAACAAGGTATGCATCTGCAATATAATCCTACCTTGTATTGTTAGGAATTTATCTAAGGGAAATGAAAGTTATGCTCTAGCAAAGACTTGTATATGAATTCTTAAAGCAGCTTTATTTTCAATAACTAAAAACTGGATACAAGCTAAATGTCTATCAACAAAAGAAACAATCAACAAACTTGGGTGTATCCACACACTTAAACTACAAGCAGCAATAAACACTAGGGGCCAGCCATATAGCTCAGTGGCATAGGCAGCTGCCTCATAAGTGCAAGGACCTATGTTTGATTCCAGGTCCCAAAAATAAATAAACAAATAAATAAATAAATGCAAAAAAACACTATACTGATACATTGTAACACAGATGATTCTCAAAGTACTTATGATGAAAGAATGGAGTAAAGAACACATGGCCTATACTGTTCTGTTTATATGTAATTCTAGAATATGCAAAATCGTTGATAGTGGTTGTTGAGAGAGAAAGGAAGATAGTGGGGTATAATTTTTTTTTCTTTCTTTTTTTTTTTTTTTTTTTTGGTGGAACCGGGGATTGAACGCAGGCCCCTGCGCTTGCCAGGCAAGCGCTTATTCTACTGAGCCATCTCCCCAGCCCCTACTGAACCATCTCCCCAGCCCCAATGGGGTATAATTCAAAGGCACATATATTAATGAAAAATATACAAATTAGAAAGTGATCTTTTTGGGTGGAGGGGGGTTATAAAACTGGCCCATTATCCCTTATACATTATTCTTTTTTTCCTTAAGAGAATTCAAAGTAGAAAAAAAAAAAAAAAAAAAAAAAGAAAAAAGAAATGATACACAATTTCACTGAACAAAATAATAGGAATTTGACAATGGTTGTTATAGTCCATAATGTTGTCTTCAAATTAGTTGTTTAGGTTACCAGATATAAGCATGCAAAATTAATTTTAAAAAAGTTTTAAGAAATTAAAAAGAAGAAAAAATTTAAGTATTAACTGCTCCTTTTACCTTATGAAACTTAGTTTCATCAACCAGGAGTCTAAAGTAAATATAAAAACATTTAGCTTTAGGCTTTGTTCTTTATGTTTACAGAATATCAGACTACCACAGATGGGTCCTCTGAAGAAAGAGCAGCCCACTAATGACTACTGATTTTTCCCCGCGCAATGAATGGCAAACCAGAGGACACACAGGGAAGACTACTGACGAGCCTCTCTTCAGTACCAGCTACTGTTCTTAAATGCAAGCAGAGCCATTTTTTATAGATTTTTATGGGTCTATTATTTTTTTAGTGTATACTCTGGATTGTTCCTGGAACAATACAATAGAAACTTTAAAGCTGTAAAGAATAAGTGCATACAGTGTCCTCTGGATTGGAATTTGGAAGGTTTACTGCTAGAGTGGATGGTGTAGGTGTTAAGTCAACAAATACTATTGTGTTTCATATTCTTTGCTCTTTAAAACTGTCCTTACAATATGTTACAGTTTTTTTCCTGCTATGAGGGGAAAGTAAAGCTGAGTATAATTGTTTAATACCATTTTAACTTCCCATATTGTCTAAGATTCTGAACTTAGCAACTATGATTTTACTTTTACCCATAAGCTAGTGAGCATGCTAGAAAAAATAAGTTAGAAGCATGCACGCAGTTAAAAATAAAGGGTTTGCAGAATTTTAATATTCTTCAGCTTATTCTGTTAAACTGTATTTCCTAATTATTACAATATGCTAAATACGTATTTTACTTTTTAAAAACAGGTAAATAAAAGGCACTGCCTAAATGCTTTTTATAAGTTTCCATGTACATAGTAAGATGTCTATCATTAATGATTAATATAACTTAAATGAGTGTAGATAACAAAAATTAAATACAAACAATCTTAAATGCTTATTTCTGCTGTCTGAAGGAAATATTTATTCTTATTTTAAAGAGAAAAAAACATGGGGCTGGCCAAATAGCTCAGCGGATTAAAGCACCTGCAAGCAGGTGCAGGGGCCAGGGGTTCTATCCTGGGGCCTGCCAGGCCAGCCCCGCCCCTGCGGCATGCTGAGAAAGTGATTGAGACTGGGTGTGGTGGCATACGCCTGTAATCCCAGCACTTGGGAGGCTGTAAACAGGCAGATCACTATGAGTCTGATCTAGTAGTGAGACTCTGAACATCCTGTAGACCCTTTCCTAAAATATGAAAAAACAAAAAAGGAGAAAAAAAACAAAAAAAGACATAAAACAAAAAAAGAATAAAAATAGAGAATTAAAAAAACCCAGGAAATCGACAATGGTTGTTATGTTACATCTTGTTAGCTTCAAAGTAAGAATTTTGATACAAAATCATATGACTCTATTTCAAGGACTCAGATTAACACCCTACTGTATCCTTAGCACCTTTAGCTCTATGCAGACAGCTTTAAGAAGTTCTGCAGGAAAGTTCACAGAACCTAGTTTCAAAACAGAAGCTGCTCTTCCTTCCTCTCCCTCCACAAATGTATACATCAATCCATTTGTATAAGACATATACTTTCTGACTGTAAATTAGGTTTAACAGCTGACTTCTGATATTTCTTCAAGCTATATGTGTTTCATATTTCAAATATTTCTAAGACACTTTTATACCACGGTTCACCATTTCTTGTTCTCTGTGCCAATTAGTATGTTTAAAACTTAGCTCTGACCTAACCTGATATGTTTGAATCACAGTTTTAACAGTCTTATCCTCACCTTTTCATCACTTACCTCCCATAGGCTTTTTGGAAATCTAAATTTCACACAATTAAAAGTATTCCT